TATTTTGGTTTTGTTATCTGTTTGGTCTGTTTTTATGTCAGAATTTGGGGTGATTCAAAGACTGAGATTGAATCTTTTACAAATTGAGATTTAAAAAGGCTATGTGTAAACCATTCTGGCAATGCAGTGAATTGTTTCAAAAACTTTAAAAATGGATATTACTCATAGTAGCCGTAGTAGGCTGGGTTATATAGTTTTTTTTTTTTTAGTATGTATTTTAGGCTGGGTTATATAGTGTTAACAAAACTGAGGGACTTAAAAGAACAGTGGTTTGGGTTTCTTTTGTTTGTTAGTGGTTTGGTTTTTTGGATTTTTTTCCCCAGGCCACTGTCCCTCGTGGGTCAGCTGAGGGCTCTGTTGTGTGTCATACTCACCAATAAAGCAGCCATCATTGAAATATTAGTCTACATTGCAGAGGAAGACAAATCTCGAGTCTCTCACAAGCAAGTAAATACCTTATCCCAGAAATATCAAAGATTACATTTGATCAAGCTAGTGGCCTCTAGGACCAGTCTCATATATCACCCAACAGTCATAAAGGGGACAGGGAGTACAGTCCTACCATACGTAGAATATGTAGCATTGGAAATATTTGAACAGTACTAATAATGATTATGATTACTTTGATTAAATTCTTCTAGTAAGCATTTATCCTAAGAAAATCAGCTTTGTTCATTGTACTGTTTTTGCTATTTCAAAGTTGAAAGCCACTTAAATGTCCAACATAAAAAAACTAAGGTGTGATAGTAACCTTTAAATGCTTATAATCATTAACCTGATCATATACCTATATTTATCAATATGAAAAGAGGCTTGCTATAATCACAGCATTTACTGAGCACTTACAATGATCTAGAATTTCTTTTTTTTTCCTGCACTGGAGATTGAACCCAAGGCCTCTTGCATGCTAGGCAAATGCTCTATCACTGAGTTACGTGTCTATCCCACAAAGATTTCCTTTTGAAGGTAAACATGGAAAAAAAGCTTTTGTAAATGGGGAGGGGAAGAGAGGTTGAAGGGAGGGTAGGGGAGTGGGGAAAAAAATCCAAGTTATATCATATCCAGGTACAAATTCCCTACAATGAATGTAATCATTATGTATATCTAACATGTACCAATAAAATCTGATTTTTTTTTTTTTTTTTTTTTTTAGTCTTTGTGAGACAGGATGTCCCTATGCAGTTCAGGCTGGCCTTGAGCTCACTTTGTAGCCCGGGCTGATCTTGAACTCGCAAGGATCCTCCTGCCTCAGCCTCCCGAGTGCTGGGATTACAGGTGTGTGCCACCATACCCAGCTTTAAAATCTGATTTTAAAAAATATTTCTTTTTATTTTTCCCAATATTTCTGTGAGGTGTGGGTACTGTTAATTTTTATTTTTGTTTTTTGCTTTTGTTTTTGAGACAGAACCTTGCTGGCCTTGAAATTTTGGGGTCAAATGATCCTCCTGCCTTAGCCTCACAAGTAGTTGCAGGGGTATATCACCATGTCTTGCAATTTTTTTTTTTTTTTTAATTTGTGGTACTGAGGGTTGAACCCAGTACCTTTACACTGAGCTACACCACCAGCCTTTAAAAAAATTTTTTTTTTTTTTTTTTTTTTGCGATGGGGTCTTGTTAAGTTACTAAGTTGCTTAGGCTGGGCTTGAACTTGTGATCTTCTGTCTCAGCCTTCCAAGGGAGAGTGGACTTGAGACTTTTAAAGGAAAACATTGTAATCATTACATTTGGAATAGGATGAATAAAGAATGTTTCATTTGGTACATCATTTATTTTAATATAACAAATGGAAAACAAAATAGACCTCATATTTTGCTTTTTTTTTATCCAGAATTTTTTTTTAATCAGGAAAGGCAGTATGAAGAAAAGAGGATGAAAGCTCATTATGGTTAAGAAGATTAAAAATAAATTCTCTAGCTTTAAAATATTCTCCTGAAAGCTATCCTGTAGTACTGAAAAAATTTTGAAGAACTGCTTGTGGAATCTCTGCTAGGAGCACCTTCAGTAATTCTACAAGATGAGAGAAGCTCTAGAAAAGCCCCTGCAGATGAGGCAGGGTATAAACATATGACCCATCTGGGAAATGGCTCTATCAGATTTCCTTGTGCTGTTCTTGCAGCTTTTCTTAAGTCTGAAATTATAATAAAAAGTCTCAAAAATATAAGTAGGTAAATTCTTTGATCCAGTGTCAGTTACTTTTCTGTGCTCTCTTACAGAATAGCTTTTAAACATACGTGCCTAATTATGCTTTTAAATTCTGGGGCCTGTCAAATGATCTGCATTCCATACTTCAAGCATATATTGACATCAGTGAGAAGTCAAGAAAAATTTCAGAGATCAGTTTGAAGGGAAAACTGAGTAGATATGTATTTCTACTTTTAATAGTGTGGTTTCATAAACTCTGAAGAGAACTGTAATTTTTTTTTTTTCCGTCTTTTTGAGTCAGGGTCTCGTTATGCAGTTCAGGCTGGCCTTGACCTCACTTTGTAGCCCAGGCTGGTCTTGAACTCGCAACAGTCCTCCTGCCTCAGCCTCCCAAGTGCTGGGATTACAGGCGTGTAGAGAACCGTGATTTTAAAAACCATCAGACATAACCACATTCAAACAAAGACATTCTCAAAAACTGCTGCCAAGTGGACATTTTACAAAATGTAGGTTGAGTATTTTTTACCCAGAATGCTGAGGACCAAAAGTGTTTCGGATTTTGGAATATTGATATAAACTTTTACCAATTGAACATGTGCTCAAAAATTTTCAGATTTTGGGCTGGTGGTATATATATAGCTCAGTGGTGACTACTTGCCTACTATACTAGAGCCCCAGGGTGTGACCCTCAGCACTGGAAAAAAAAAGTTTCCAATTTGGAGTATATTGAATTTTTAATTTTTGAACTGAGAGTGCTCAACTTGTATATTTTTTTATGTGCATTACTGGTACAAATTAGTTAATAGTTCTAGTTACTGCCTGACTTATGAAGCTGCTGCTAGTTATACTTACTTATTATTTGTAGTTTAAACCTAATATTTTTAGTGCATAGCAAGCTTGAATACTTACATTTGGTGATTTTTTTGTTGTTGTCTTTTGGTTTTTTTCCGGTACTGGGAATCGAACTCACGACCTTGCACTTGCCAGGCAGGCGCTGTGCCCCTGAGCTAAATCCCCAGCCCCCACATTTGGTGACTTTGACAGTATTGTTTCAAAGTAAAATTTGAAAACTGCAAAGAAGCAAAATTAATCCTTCATTCAAGAAGTACCCTGTTAATATTTTCTTTCTATAGCTTTAAACAAATGCTGTTGGCCCGACCCTGATACACAGTTTGACCAGGCTTCCTTCATGTACCACGTCATGCACATCTTCCCACACCATTGTAAATTGTTTGACACTGTTATTTTTAAACTTATAAGAATACTCCACCTTACAATGTACCACAGCTTATTTACTTTTTTGTTTTTGAGATGTTAGTTTTGAAGGAAAGTAGCTAATATACTGGTTGCAAGTGAGGGGTAGGGATATACTTGTAACTAAAACTTAGGAGATGGGGGCAGGTGGAACACCTCAAGTTCTATGTAGTCTCAAAAAAAACAAAAGGGGGGTGATATAGAAAACTGAATATTTCAATTTATATAGTTTGTTAGCAGAAGTTATTGGACCAGTATTTTTCTTGGTTCCTTATTTCTGTTATCTTTGGAGAAAACATAATGTTTGAGGAAATCTAATTTTAAGAGTCAATATTATCCATGTTGTAGTAAAGAAACCTGAGGGCTGGGGATATAGTTCACAGGTGGAGTTTGTGCTTAGCATGTGTAAGACCCTAGGTTCAGTCCCCCTTGCTACCGTCACCAGCAAACAAAACAATACCTGGAGGCATATTTTTTATTAGGAGAAAGGACCATTTGCCAGGCATGATGGCACATTCTCGTAATCGCAGCACTGGGAAGCTGAGGGAGGAGGATTATGAGTTTGAGGCCAACCTGGGCTACATAGACCATTTTCTATTTAAATAAGGAGAGGACAGAGAAGAGAAAGAATCCTTTGTTAGCTAATTCTTAAACATTTGGAATTCTATTTTTAATACACATGTACAGATTTTTTCCAAATTATTGTAAATATGCCAGATGTGATGGTTCACACCTGTAATTCCAGCAATTTGGAAACTGAAGCAGGAAGACAGCCACAAGTTCAAGACCAGCCTGGGCTATCTAGTGAGACCCTGTCTCAAAAAGCAAAAACCCCAAAAATGCAAATTATAAATTTAAGGTTTCCACTTGGCAGATACATAAATTTAATGATTTTAAGGTTAAATTTACTTTAAAAGTATCTTAAGATAAATCATACTCAAAATTTAAACGTTTTGTACATTCTGATTTTAGGATAAGTTGCAGAATCAAGGCAAAAAGCTATGTCCCCGCTCCTTGAGAAAGGGTCTCTCGGTGTAGTCAAGGCTGGCCTGGAACTCACTATGTCAGTCAGGCTGCCCAGGAACTTGTGATCCCCCTGCCTCAGCCTCCCAAGTGCGGAGATTACAGGTGTGTTCCAAATTCTGCCTGGCAAGTTTTGCTTTTAATGTTAGAAATTATAGAAATATATTCTTGGTTTTAAAAAACAAAGTGATGTTTTAGATCAATTTTTAGGATTAGTGATTATTTCACATTAAAATATTGTTATTAGTCCTAAAATTGTTTTTTTGTTTGACCAACAAACACATAGTTTAAGGTTTTTCCTTGGAGTCCCTTTATATTTCCCCAGCTATAATGAGGGATTCCTTCCTAATTAAAACAGATGCTTTAAGTGAATATGTGAGTAATAGGTTTATTAGTAATTGCGTATGAATAAATTATACCTTCTCTGGTGCTATAAAGTCATCCTGATGTATGTATGTGGTGGCATCTCATACTTGATAAATGAATACCTGATATACTTATATATTGCATTCATCTGGAGGGGATCTAGTAGTCCCACTCCAAGGACTGTTAACATCTCTTATAATTTCATGTTTTGGCAGGTAAACCTAGCCTTTAAGCAACCTGGAAAGAGGCTAGAGCACCAAGGAATTAGAATTGAATTTGTAGGTCAAATTGGTGAGTTTTAAAATAGTATTACTTTTTTTCCTTTGATAAACTTGAGTTTTAAGAAGGTTGTATTTGGCACTTAAATAACTGAATTAGAGCTTAGTTTTGTAGAAGGAAGGAAGGACTTTTGCAAAATGAAAAAGAGGACTTAGTAAATTACGTTTCTTTTAACTGTATTAAATATTTGACTCATTCTACCTTTGTTTTTGGACATCATACTAAAAGTGAAAGGAGTTACATAAACTACCAGCCTTGAAAAATAATTGAAGTCGATTAGTTGATTCACTGAAATTTTTTTTCTACATTTTTCACCAGCCTTATAATTACCAGACTCGCCTTCATCTTTCATTTTCTAATTACCCATGCCACTTGTCTTCCTGGCTTAGTGTGTGTGCCGACAGCCAGACTCCCCTGTCCACAGAAAATTCCATCTGAAAAGGAAAGGAGTAATTTCTTCTTGACTTACGTCATATTGTGTAGATTTCCATATGTGTATTTCAGGGACATTCTTGATACAGCAGGGAGTTAAACTCTATGTAAATCTCTTTGAACCACAGAGTCAGGAGAGTAGGGCTGGGAGTGTGGCTCAGTGGTAGAGCGCTGCCTAAGCATGTGCAAGGCCCTGAGTTCAGTCCCCAGCACTGCAGAAAGGAATGTTTATAATTTTGTCTGGATAGCTAGGTTTTAAATCCAGCTTTCCAAGTTTTACTGTACATTTTTAAAAGTATCAAATGGAATGGGTTAATATTATTATTTGTTTATATATCTTCTATAGATGAGTGCTTGTACTTGAGGGGCAAGTTACAGTAATTAACTGATGATTGGTTTTATTCTTTTGTGTATTATAGTTTTATCAGTGTAATATTCAGAGTCTGCCAAAAATGTATACATCAGGAAAAGAAAAACTTGTGTAACTATTTAATTAAATTTAGTGAGCCATCATGAAATTAATACATTGCCTTTGGCCATTACAATTACAAGAGATGCTCAAAGTGGTGGCCATGAGCTTCCAGACATTTACTAGTGTGGTGAACTGCTGAAGTGTTTATACATTCTTTTGGCGAACTCTGTATTTGTCTGACTGACACCAAACAATAAAATAGAGTTTCTGCCTTAAAGGGAAGAAGGTCAAATAATTGCTGGTAATGTGTCAAATAGTTTCATATTGGGAGAGCTCTAAATACATCAAAGGAATGAACTTGTTTCTAATAGAAATTTTCAGTGTGCTATGTGTCTTGAATATATTTATGCTTAAGTAGGCCATAAATTACTCTGGCAAAATCCAACTAATTATTTTGGTAAAAATTATTTACTTCGTACATAGAAGTTTGGATTTTATTAAAATGGATATTAAATATAATTTGTCTCTTTGTTTTTAAAATTTCTTAGAACTTTTCAATGACAAGAGTAATACTCATGAATTTGTAAACCTAGTGAAAGAACTAGCCTTACCTGGAGAACTGACTCAGAGCAGAAGTTACGACTTTGAATTTATGCAAGTTGAAAAGCCATATGAATCTTACATCGGTGCCAATGTCCGCTTGAGGTATGAATGTGTATTAGAAAATGTAAGCAGGGTCAAAACCAGAAAGTAATGGCTACTGCTGATGTCTATTTGAACTTTTAATTATAGTTCTAGGCTGGAAGACAGTATTTTAAAATATTTTGTCATGTATTTTGGCTAATACTGAGCTGAAATAATAGCTTTCTAAGATTATAGATTCAGAAAACCCTATTATGAGAAGTATTAGTTGTATATTTCTTTAAATGAATTATCCCTTTCATTTGTTACGTAAACCAAATTACTCTTCAAATCTTTTAGTTTCTTAACAAATCTCATTCAGTATATAGTTAGGAAGTGCTTAGAGGACCAGAGCAGCTGACTTGTCCACGTACAAAAGGAGCGCATGGCAGAACTGAGGTAGGGACCCGCTTTTCTAAATTCCCAACCCAGTGTCCTTCTCCTTCTCCACATCTTCATTCAGGAAGCTGTGGATACCTCAGGGACCAGGGCAATTAAAGATACAGTACTAATCTGAACATCCTTGGTCCAGGATCTTGCTTTGTATGTTTGATGTTATCTATCCGGTATTAGGTTGGACAACCCAAACCCCAAAGAACAATGCCTTAGCTAGATAGGGATTCAGAACAAAACAGAACAGTGATAGGAGAGATTTCCTCAAGTAGGCTTAATGATAGCTCTCTAAACTCATCTGGGAAGGATTTATTCTAGGTAGAGGGCTAGCTGTGTAGTTCAGTGGTGGAGTGTGTACTTAGCATGCATGAGGTCCTGGATTCAATTCCCAGAACCAAAAAAAAAGGCAAAAGCAAAAGTAGAACTCCTTCATTAGTTGTTCCCAAAGAAGTCCTACCAAGGAGAAAGCTGCAGTAACGCTTCCTTATTTGAAATAAATTTATCATTGGCAATTTACCTCATCCTCTCCATTAACTTTGTAGGTATTTTCTTAAGGTGACAATAGTGAGAAGACTGACAGACTTGGTAAAAGAGTATGATCTTATTGTTCACCAACTTGCCACCTATCCTGATGTTAACAACTCTATTAAAATGGAAGTGGGCATTGAAGATTGTCTACATATAGAGTTTGAATATAATAAATCAAAGTAAGTACCTTTCACAAATAAGTGTGCAGGGAAAATTTAAAAATAAGCTTTCAGATCTTTGAAATAGATCAGTGCAGGATAGAATTGACATTAATCTGATATTTAACAGACCAACAGAATCTCTGAGTGAAAAGAAACTTTGAGGGAATGGTCTGGCTTGTAACCCAGGGAAAGTGGTCTTTCATTTTCTATTCCTGATAAATCTGCCTGACCACTTTATATAAAACGTCTCACCACCACAGAAGGTAAGCAGTGCCATTATGTCTATAAAAATTACCGTTTGACATCACTTCATTCTGGCCATCATTTTAAAACTAAACAAAAATCCTTTTTTTGTCCTAGGTAGTGAAGCAGTATGTTTTCATTATTGAAAACTTAAGGGGCTGGGGATTTAGCTTAGCAGTACAGTGCCTGCCTGGCAAGCGCAAGGTCGTGAGTTCGATTCCCAGTACCAGAAAAACAAACAAACAAACAAAACTTAAGAAGATATAAAGTAAAAGAAAATTTAAAAATCACATATTTTCACTTTTACTAATTAACTGTTATTAATATCCTGTTTTATATCTTTTCAGCAGGCAGGGGGAGGCATATAAGTTGTATTTTTACAAAATGGGCTCATATTTATTGTTTAATGCTTTTATAAACTTTATCATGGAAGATTTCAAATATATTCCAAAGTACGTAAGCAATATATTGAACACAATAAAATAATGAATGTTCAGTGTACTAGCAGTATCCTTAACAAAATTAATCTTCATGTACCCATACCCTTGCTTCAACAGTTACCAACACACGGATTTGTTTTATCTTTATTGATGTCTCACACTTACCATAGATTATATCGAAACAAATTCTAGGTATATAATTTAATCCATAAAAATTATGCATCATTTTAAATATAACTACATACTATTCAAAACTATTAATAACTCTTTAATATTTCTACATAATGTATCTAGTCAGTGTTACATATCCCTGATTGTTTTATGAATGTCTCCTTTTTTCACATGGTTTGTTCAAATCATTGTCCCAACAGGGTCTACATTGCATTTGGTTTTTTGACTTGTAAACCTCTTAATTTTACAGATTTCCTTTTTTTTTCATTAAAATTAATTTGTTGAAGAAATAGATAGCCCCTATTTTAGCCCTCTCCTGCATAGTCTTCTGTTGGGAGACAGACTTAGTGTTTCTCCCAAGTTCATATTACTGAAAACTTGATACATATGTCTGCAGAGTCTCACATTGTTGATAAAATTATCAAATAGTTTGAGACCTAAAAACTTACCAGTGGACCATCCCTGTAGACTTACATAATTGTATTAATTAATTCTTAAGAAGAGGCTAAAAAATCCTTTGGGTATTGTAAATATTCCCGGGTTTATTACAACATAATTTCAGAGTACTTGGGAATGCAGTGGTCTTTAGTTATTAGATACTACAGCAACAGACTCAGCCTATAGAGGTAGCTGCTGTTAACCTCTTTTTGTGGAAGCAAACTTTTAACTTGGCCATTCAGAGGGAATGATTAGCCTAATTGTTGGCCCTGTTTAGAACTTAATCTTCAGAGAACCTAAACAATTAACTGAATGGAAAATTAAAATTTTTATGCTTGAAATATCTCAGTTGTATGAAGATAGCTCTACACAAGAGTTTAGCATCATTATTATTATGCTAGAACAATGTAATTTCCATATTTGCATAATGAAATGATTAATCGATACAGTACTTTTTTGGAAAAAAGGAAAAGTGTGAATAAAGTAGGATTCTTAGTTATTACCCCAAAGATACCTATTAAAGCTTTTCACAGCCTATTTCACTCCTTGTTTTCTTACACTGATACTTAGTAAGTGAAACTCCTTCCCAATAGGTATCATTTAAAGGATGTGATTGTTGGAAAAATTTACTTCTTATTAGTAAGAATAAAAATACAACACATGGAGTTACAACTGATCAAAAAAGAGATCACAGGAATTGGTAAGTTAAAAAGTATTTGAATTAAACTTGCTTGATTAGCTGAAATTTTAGAAATCTTAAAATGTTTACACATAAATTTGATTTACATATAAATTTGATATCCACATTGGAACTTTGCTTTTTAATATTGGTGGTCACAAGTAACTTAGTGTTTTTTGTTTCTTTGTTTTGATTTTATTTTTTGAGGCAGGGTCTCGCTGCGTAGCCCAGGTTGGCCTTGAACTTTCAGTTTTCCTGCTTCAGCATTTTGGGTGCTGGGGTTATAGGCATACTTACTGTTTTTTAAAAAATTAATTATTGCACTGCACGTGTTGGGGTGCATCTCTTAGTCCTAGCTACTCTGAAGGATAAGGGAGGAAAATCTCTCCCTCTCACTAGGGATTGAACCCAGGCCTTTGGCACTGAGCTACATCCTCAGTCCTTCGTGTATTTTTTATTTTGAGACAGGGTCTTGCTGAGTAAGCAAGTTACCCAGGCAGGCCTCAGGCTTGTGACCCTTTTGCCTCAGCCTTCTAAGTGCAGAGATTACAAGCCTGCAACACTCACCTGGCTCACAAGGCTCTCTTGAGCCCTTGAGTTTCAAGGTAGTCTGGGCAACATAGTGAGACCTTGTCTCTTCAATAAATAAAATCAATTTTTGAATCAGTAGTAAATTCACATGATTTAAAAAATAAAGGGTAAAAGGCTATGGTAAAAATATTTTATTTTTGTACCCATGTTACTTACAGACAATAAATTTGTAAGCTTTTTTTTTTGTACCAGGAATTGAACTCAGGCTCTCGTTTGCCACACAGGCACTATACCACTGAGCCATATCTCTGGCATTTGTAAGCTTTTAAATCCTAAAAGCTGGGCATAGGGTGTGTACCTGTAGTCCCAGTTAGTTGAGAGGCTGAGGCAGAAGAAGTGCTTGAGCTCAGTAGTTCAGGGCCAGAGTGGGCAACCCAGTAAGACCCTGTCTCTTTAAAAAGTGAACAAATGATGTAATATTTCATACGTGTAATCCCAGCTTCTCAGGAGGTATTGTAAATTTGAGACCAACCTGGGTAAACTTACTGAGATCTTGTCCCCAAATAAAAAGAGCTGAGGTTGCAGTTCAGTGGTATTGTGCTCCTGGATTAATCTCTAGTACCACCAGAAAAGAAGGGAAGAGCCAGGTGGTGGTGCACGCCTATAATCCCAGCACTCGGGAGCCCGAGGCAGGAGGACTGCTGTGGGACCCTGTCTTAAAAATAAATAAATAAATAAATAAATAAATAAACAAAATAAACAGCTATGATTTTTTTAATCTCTTATCTTCCACCTGCTAGTAAGTTTAAGGGTTTTAAGGTAGTAAAACAAGGCTTTAAGTTTTCATTTGTTCTTTAAAAAGAAAGTATTCAAACTTTTTTTCTGATTCTAAAAATTACGTTCTAGGGGCTGGGGATTTAGCTCAGCGGCACAGCGCCTGCCTGGCAAGCACAAGGTCGTGAGTTCAATTCCCAGTACTGCCCCTCCCCCCAAAATAAAATAAAAATTACGTTCTAGTATAGAAAAAAGTAAGAGGAAAGCTATACTCATTTAGAAAAGACTTCAGTCTTCGCATATTATATATTTTACAACCTGGGGATCATTACTATAGTTTTGGTACAGTTTTTTGTGTGTGAGATGCTGGAAATTAAACCTTGTGAATGCTAGGCAAGTGTTCTACCTCTAGGCCTTGGTGTGTTTTGTTTTGTTTTGTTTTGTTTTGTTTTTCTTTTTTTCCACTTAACATACAATTGACTTCGTTTTTTAGATGGCTAAGTTCAAATAATTTTTTAGAGGGTGAGTCTCGAAATTTATATATCTGTTTGCCAGGTATTCTTACTCCACAGGAAAGTCTGGGAGTTAATAGAAAACTAATATGTATGGGTAATTCTGACATGTATTGCTAGGTGCTATTTTAGCAGATACTAGAACAGATGAGAAGAACTACAGTATGTAAAGATTTTTTTCTGGCCAGGTGTGTAGTGCACACTTGTAATCTCAGCACTTTGGAGGCTGAGGCAGGAGAATTGCTGTGAGTTCAAAGCCAGCCTGGGCTATGGAGTGAGACTTTATCTCAAACCTTCCTCCCCCAAGAAGATTGTTTCTCCTAGCTAAGTACTAATCAGGCCTGACACAACTTAGCTTCTGAGATCAGACAAGAGCAGGAGTTTTGAGGGTGATGTGGTCATGGACAAGAAGATTCTTTTTGAACTGCATGTTGCCTTTGGGAAAAAGGAGGTATGAAACATTGAGTGATGAGGATATGAATCGTAAATCAAGAAATAGGAAAGAATGACCGGAGCCATGTGTTGCATGGTGGACACACCTGTAATCCCAGCACTCTGGGAGGCTAAAGCAGGAAGATCACAAGTTATCGCTTTAAAAGGACTCTGACTCATAGTTTAAAAAAATAGGAGTGGAAATACAGCTCATTGCAAAGACCCTGGGTTCAATCCCAAATACTACCAAAAAATTTTTTTTCATAAAATGGGAAGATAAAACAGCACTAACATAATGTAGTTGGAAAACAGGAAAAAGGTAGAAGGGTGGAAATTATATTCTGGAAATAATTGAATTAATGCCCTTCATTCTTATACTAGGACCCAGTACTACAACAGAAACAGAAACTATTGCCAAATATGAAATAATGGATGGTGCACCAGTAAAAGGTAACACATTTTGCATTTACTTTTGAGTAGTGCAGTGTCCATGGCATTTTAGAGTATTCATTTGTGTGAAAATATTTATAATTCTTAAAACTATTCTTTTATTTTTAATTTTTTTCAGATTTTGTTTTAGACATACATAATGATCATGTTCATCATAGAGCTTAACTTTTATGATGATCATTTTTGAGGGTGTCTTTGTATAGCTGCTAAAATCGACTCTGATGGTATGCTCCTATCTGAAATAAGGTTAAGGTTTTGCTCAGTTTCAGTTCAGAATTTGAAGAGACAGTTGTGTTTATCTCTTCTCTGGTTCTAAATTTGCAATATTTTAATTGTCTTCTGTTACAGTAGTTCATCTAAAAAAAACCAGTAGTTCATCTCTGTACATCTTCTTTTTCTCATACTGGTCAGAAGATACAGTAGAACTCAGCATTAATTCCTGTGGTATTTTCGAGCTCTTGTAGCCTTCTCCCAAAATGATTTCCTTGCTAGATAATCTTCAGTGTCTGGGACCATGTACAGCATTTAATATATGTCTTTTGGTTTTTCTCGCTCTAGTAATAATTACTTCAAAAAGTAGCTACGATTTATTGAATGCCTTTGATAAACAAGGCATTGTAGTTTAGGTGCTTTAAAGCTCCCTACTGGTCTCTGAGTTAGGTTTTTATGTCCTTTATTTTACAGACAAAACTGAAGTGCAGAGAGATTAAAAAATTTGCCAAAGGTGACATAGCTAATTTTGGCAGTTGAGGTTTGAACCCAAGTTTGAACTTCATGGCCCATGCACTGTATATGTAACTTTGTGTTACATAATATTATTTTTAAAAATTCCAGCAGCCACAGAGTTTATGTTGAAGGATAGCTTTTTTGTCTATCAGCAATAGATGTGCGTGAGAAAAATATTACATAAAGGTAATTAAGAAGAGAATATGCAAATATCTTTCTTAGGAGAAAAGAAGCCATGAGCATCTGAAGAGCAATCTTTTTGGTAATGAAAACATGTTACCATTCTGTTCACCTTTGTTGTTGTGGATGAATTAGTAACAGATTTTCAGTTCTTCATAGGTATGCTTAGGAATTATGAAAATAATAAGCAGAGAGTAATAAAACTAGGTCTGTTCAGCACTTAGCTACTGGTACTCTTTTAAGCTCTTTATATATTTAACCCATACAGTCCTTATAAATTCCCTGCAAGTGAGTATTGCTACTCCCTATCTTACAGAAACAGAGCGTACAGCCAGTAAATCGTGGAATTGAGATTGGATCCAGGTGTTCTGGCTCTACAGGATTGGTTTTCATCCAGAGGCAACTTTGTCTCCCAAAAGACATACGTCTGGGGAGATTTTTTAGGGTTATACTTGGGGAGCATTACTGGCTTCAGTGGTAGAGGCCGGGGGTGCTAGAAAGTGCATAGGACCTTCCCTCAGGAAAGCCTTTATCAGGCCCAGAATGGCATTAGGACCGAGGCTGAAAAACGCTGGTCTTTGTTAGTGTTGCAGCTCATAAGGAACTGAAGGATAAGTATCCACTCTGTAATGCTCAGCCCTGTGTTTTATGTGAACATATGTAATCATTTCTTATTTATATATTTTTTATCCTTTAGAATTAAATGGAAATTGCTTCTCTTTCAGGTGAATCCATTCCAATCAGACTGTTTTTAGCAGGATATGACCCAACACCAACAATGAGAGACGTGAACAAAAAATTCTCAGTCAGGTACTTTTTGAATCTAGTGCTTGTCGATGAGGAAGACAGAAGGTACTTCAAGCAGCAGGTAGGCACTGCCCAGGCTGACCTTTGCTCTGTGGCGGGTCTGGGGCACCTAAGGAGTGTTCCTTTTTGGAAGTTTTATTGTGTGAGTGAGGGTTTCTAAAGTGTGAACGAACGTATTGAGAGTATAATAAAGAAGTAGGTGTTGGGATAGATCCCGCCTCAATCATTCTTTTTTATTTTAAATGTTTATTGAAAAGCAACTATACTTCCACTTCATGGTAACAAACAACAACAAAACATCAGTTTTTAAGAGTGTTAAAAAATATATATATTTTTTTTTGTTTTTTTTCCTGGTACCGGGAATCAAGCTCACGACCTTGCGCTTGCCAGGCAGGCGCTATGCTGCTGAGCTAAATCCCCAGCCCTATGAGTGTTAAAATATAAAATAATAATAAATCTTACCACAAAATTTACAAGACCCATATACAGAAAACTAGAAAACATTACGGATAAATTAAAAATTTCAAGGAACATTTTAAGGTGAGACCCTTGAAGATAACAATTTGGTATGAAAATCCAAAAGACTTAAAATCATTACAACCATCTTGAAATGGAAGAAAAAGCTTTGAAAAGCTCACATGGCATTATTTCTGGAATTAATATACATTTATAATATTTTATTTACTCTTTCAGCTTCTCACACTAGGGAGACCAATTGATGCTTGCAGATACGAGTCTGACTTATTTCACTTATGAGTATGAACTTGAGTTGCATCTATTTACCTATAAGTCTCCAGTTTATCCTTTTTCATGGCCAAATATCACTCCATTGTATAAAAAAAAATACATGTTTTTTCATTCCTTGGTTGATGGGCATTTGGGTTGTATCCTAGATTTAGCTATTGTAGATTGTGCTGCTATAAACATGGGTGCACATATATCACTGTGGTATGATGTTTTTAATTCTTCCTGGGAAAATATCCAGAAGAGGAATAAAATGGGACCTCTAATCCTACTTTTTTGAGAACTCTGCACATGATTTCCACAGTGGTTGCACTAGTCTATGCCCTACCAACAGTGGAAAAGGGTTCCTTTTTCCCCACAGCCCCTCCAGCATTTGTTGTTGATTGATTTCCTTGTAATAGCTATTCTTTCCGGGGTGAGATGGAATTTCAGTGTTGCTTTAATTTGCATCTCTCAAATGACCAGTGATGTTGAACATTTTTTCATGTATTTATTTGCTCTTTGTATTTCTTCGTCTGAGAAGTGTGTATTAATCTCAGATGCCCACTTTTAGATTGGATCTCTAATCAGACTTGGGGAGGTCTGATTTTTTTGAGTTCTTTATATGGTCTCCACAGTAATCCCTTGTCTGAGAAACAGCTGGCAGCACTTTTTCCCAGATTGTAGCTTGTTTCTTGACTCTGTTGATGATTTTTCTTGCTGTGCAAAAGCTTTGTAATGAGATCCCAGTTGTTCATTCTTTGTGATAATTCCTTTGTGATCAGGGTTTTATTCCTAAAGTCTTTGCCTACACCAATGTCTTTAAGAGTTTTACTGAGTAGATTTAATGTTTGTTTTAACATTTAGATCTTTAATCCATTTCATATTTAGTTTAGTGCATGGTGAAAGATATGGTTTAGTGCATGGTGAAAGATATGTACAAAGCCAGTTTTTCCAGCACCATTTTTTACTATCCTTCCAGTGAATATGTTTGGCATCTTTGTCAAAGATAAGGTGACTGAGTATGTCTGGAGTTGTTTCTACATCTAATCTGTTCCCTTGATCTTTGGGTCTGTATTTTTGCCAGTATCATGCTGTTTTTATCACAGTAGCTTTATAGTATAATTTCAAGTCAGGGATTGTGATGCCCCCTGCCTTGCCTTAGTTGCCTAGAAGTGCCTTTGCTATTCTAGGTCTCTTCTGGTTCCAAATGAATTTAACGATTGTTTTCTGTAATTTGCAGGATATGCTGTTGGAATTTTGATAGGAATTGCATTAAATCTGTATAACAGTTTTCCTCCTTTATCATTTTGCAGACTCCAAAATAAGCTATAATTTGTCAAGGCCTTTATTTTTCTTTCCTTTTTTTTTTTTTTTTTTTTTTTTTTTTGTTTTGTTTTGTTTTGTTTTGTTTGTTTTTTGGGACAGGGTCTGCCTTTGTAGCTCAGGCTCTCCTTGAACTCTCTGTGTAGTCCAGGCTGGCCTCAATCCCGTGGCTGTCTTCGTGCCTCAGCTTCCTGAGTGCTGGGATTACAGGCTATCACTACACCCAGCTCTTTATTGTTTTCTTAAAAGTTTTTCTAATAAAAAATGAAAGCAATAAAGAACAAAGAATGAAGTAAAGGCCGGGAAAAATTCCACCACCATTGTTAGTAGTTTTCCAGACTAATTTGTGTATGTGTGTTGAGATCATATTATGCATGTTTCTGTTTTTGTATTCAGTATTTTTAAAATATCTCTTATGAAGAAAGCTCCATTGTTACTCCTCTTCCACTTCTCTCCATTGTACTTTTAATAGCTGCATTTATTTCATGGATTTTGGGGTTTTATTCCCTCTTTCTTGTTGCAGTACTGAACTCAGGGCCTTTGCACTAAACTGCACTTCCACTCACCCACCCCCAACTTTTAAAATTTTTTTTTTAAATTTTGAGGCAATGTCTAAGTCACTAAGTTGACCAGGCTGGGTTTGAACTTTCAGTCCTGCTTCAGCTTTCTGGAGTGCAGTCCACACACCCAGCTACATTTTTCCCTTACTAAACATTTCTATTATAAATGTCCATAAGGTGATCCAATTCTAATAGTTATTTTTCAAATGAAGTGTTCATCATAAAATTTGTTCTCATTTGAAAGTCAATTTAAACCAGGCATGGTGGTGCACACCTGTAATCCCAGCACTCAGGAGGCTTGCTGCAAACTCAAGGCCAGCCTAGGGAGTTCAAGGTTGGCCTGAACTATATAGACCCTGTCTTAAAAAATATTTAAAAAGCTTTTGCTGAGTTTTGAATGAATACTGTGATTAAAAATTTTTTATATATTGAATGAGATGAATAAATATTTGAATGTCAGTTGAGTATTAGTAAAGCTGTTAGAAATTAGTCTGTGCTAAATATCGTGAAGAATGTAAAAACTACCTCTTACAAACACCATTTGTCTTCCACGTCCTCACATTGCAAATGTGTGTGTTGTGGGGTAGTGGGGGTGGAAGTATATAACTAACGGAAAGCTTAAATAATAGTTTAACAGTAATTTAGAAGAAAGAAAACTTACTCTAGTAAGGAGTCATAATGCTGTATAAGTACACGTAGGTAATTTATAATTTTAAAGTAAGTTGCATGATATTTACACTTTGCAGCGCAGTTGCTTTGATGGCACTATTGGAGTAAACATTATTTCTCCCACACGCTCATTCAAATGTTTAAGTTCTGATATGTGGTTTAAAACAAAACAAGAACCAGGCAGTCATGACTTGATGAAGCAAATTATGTTTGGAATTTAGAAGAAGAGCGATATCAGGATGGATTGGTTAGGATAAGATTTTAAAAGGCAGAGTAGTAGATAATTTGATTGTATAGGGGAAGGTGTGGGGTGAGTTTATTTCAAGTGGATTGGAGGTAGAAAGGAATGCAGTTGGGCTGGTCGGGGAGAAGCGTCTGCGGAGTGGAGGAAGTAGTGTTGGTAAATTAGGTTAAGGTTATAGAGGACCCTAAGTACCTATTGGAGATTTATTGTGGAGGCACAAAGAGCTAGTGAGGAGTAATCTAAGCTGTAGTTTTATAAGATTAACTGGTAGTGATATAAAGGGTAAATTAGAATAAGGTTTTACGCAAGAGAGGCAGGATGAAGTGACAAAGATTTAAACTTGGTTGAAGGTAATAGAACAGAAAACACAGGACAGATTCTAGGAATTTGTCAAAGCTATAATAGCTAGGACTTCAGATCCAATTGCACTGGTGTGGTTTCATGTGTGGGTGCTGCTGAGGGAAGCAGGGACCTAGGGAGGCAGTCTAAGATTAGGACTGAAAGAAGATAGGTAAGTTTGGATAGAAGAACAGGAAATTTAGTGTTGATATAGTTAAAACTGAAGTTGCAATTAGTATTCCATAGTGAAAATGTAAGGCCCAATGGAGAACATTAATTTGTTGATGTCTTGTGTTTGTTTTTGTAGGAAATCATCTTATGGAGAAAAGCTCCTGAAAAACTGAGGAAACAGAGAACAAACTTTCACCAGCGATTTGAATCTCCAGACTCACAGGCATCTGCTGAACAGCCTGAAATGTGAACTGAATAGAAAGAGAAAAGAAAAAAATCCATACCCATTGAGACTAAGATCAGCAGGTTAAAGATGGTTGCAGCATGTGTGTGTGTGGGGAGGAGGCCTAAACTCCATATACAATAGTCTTCCTTTATCTTACAGTGCTGCATTTATTTTACAGTATAACTAAATGTTCTTCATGTATAAACATTTTTAAAAGTGCTTTCTTTGAAACACTGGAGATTTCTTGAGCTGCCTTTATTTTTATTTTTACTGCACACTTTGATGATAAGCACTCAGATATTGCATCAGCATAAACATTAAAGATTTTCATTTGAATAGGATGGTATTTGTAATTTTGCTTTCTTTCCTCATGATGTTGACTGTAAATCCTTTTCTTTCATACTAATGAATAATTACATGCAAAAAATTAAATACCTTGTGTTTGAGTCAAATTAGAAAATATAAGTGGACCTTACACCCTGCAAATATTTAGAACATGGCATCTATATATATAAAAATTTTTTCTTCTTTTTTTTTTTTGGTACCGGGAATCAAACTCAGGACTGTGCTTGCCAGGCGGGTGCTGTGCCCCTGAGCTATATCCCCGGCGCATCTCAATATTTTTGAGAACTACATTTGTTTTTACATATGCATTTGAGAACTGTATATGTAGAGTTTCACTGAAGGTGCTTCTGGGCCTACTGTTTCATAGCTTTTTGCATTTTATCCTCTTTGAAGACTTCTGTGATACGGATATTTTTCCCCCTGGGGATTACGTGGCATGCCATTGTGGCCCTCTTCTCTCCCCCATATTAAGTAATCATTTTGCTATTCCAGGCAGTGCCACCATGTGTTCGGAAACATGGAGTTGACATATCTTGGCATTTTAGAACTTGATAGCAACTACATATTTTCCCATAGTTAGAAATATGTGTGTGTATATATATTTTTTAATTTAAGGAATATTCTTGTCACATGTATGCAAATAGCATTTTCATGATTTACAGATTTATTCACTTTTCAGGGGAAAATGGGGAGATGGGGGATCAGGAGGAACTTGTGAGGTGTATAATTATCCAGATCTTGACAATTTCGTGTTTATTAAGCTGGAATTATGGCTATTTCAAACTCCACTTAAATTTCACCTACTCTGTCTGAATTTTTTTAAAACACTAAATCGAAGTCATTTTTTCAGTGTCTTAAAAGGAAGGTTGCAGTCATCCACTCATGGGCTGGGGTCTGTCTCAGATAAGCTGAATGCGGAATGTAGAAACCAAAACAAAGCCTGCTGCTGGAGAGTACTTTCACTTACCATTCATTGGTTTTTGTACCAGTATCTTAAAATACAGTTCAGTGCAAGTTCTGTCAGTTAATCTTGCTTTATGAATGAGCTGATAACCCAAACTACATTTCTTTAAACCTGTTGTACTACTATGGCACTTTGATAAAATTGGCAGTAACCAACTTCTTTACTGGCCAAAGGTTCCATGTACCATGTGCTGGAGCATTTTAAATGTGGGTATCTATGAATGGTTATGTTTTCCTTCATGTAAGTGCCTGTTCAAAATTTTTAAAATGCCAAATATTTTCATGGTCACTTGCATGTAGTAATTTAGAAAATATTCAGAGATTTTGAAATCTAACTGTATTTAACCAGCCTCAAATTGTGCAACCATAATGTATAATAAAGAATTTGAAACAGAAACTGAGCTTGCTAGTTGATTAAAGTAGCAGTATTTTCAAATCTCAATATTTAACATTCAGGATAGCATTTCTCAATAGTTGGGGAAATTATGATGATAAGTTTTTTATAAACAGTACCAGTTTCAGCTATAAATTGTTCTATAATGCTTTTAATTAGTTGGCTTAAAAGACTATTGTCTCCAAGATGATTATTCACCTTGCATGAGATTTTGTTGTATAACAAATTCAAAGAATACAAAATCAAAACCAGTATTTGTTGATTTGAGTCGAGTTGGCCAGTTAGAAATAAAAAGCTGAAAACAAGATTTGTGGTTTTTTTTTTTTTTTTTTTTTTTTTTTTTTTTTTTTTTTTTTTTTTTTTTTTGTACCAGGGATTGAACCCAGGACCTTGCACTTGCCAGGCAGGCGCCTGTGCCACTGAGCTATATTCCCGGCCCCAAGATTTGTGTTTTTATAAAGAGTACAGTGTCTAACCCAGTGATTTTCAACCCTGGTTGCATGTTAAAATCACCTTAGAAGCTGGGCCCCACCCAGACCATAAAAATGAGTATTCCAGGGAGTTCTGTATTTTAAAAAGCTATCAAAGATTGAGAAAGTGATTTAAACTGTTATTTCTCTTAATAGTTAAAGTTTTCTTATTTTAATACAGTTGGAGAAGAAGAATTTCTCTCACATACTAAGTGGCTGCCTGTGCATAAACTGACAAAAAAAAAAAAATCCAAAACGGAGAAAACCATTTCATAAGCTGAGCGTGGTGGCACATACCTGTAAGATCAGCACTGGGAGGCTGAGGCATGAGGATTACCAAGAGTTTGAGGTTAGCCTTGGCTATATACAGAGTTCAAGGCCAGTCTGAGTTGCATAGTGAGACTGTGTAAAAAAACCATTTAGTCACATCTATGTGGGTTCATAAAAATTTGACTCAAGTGTTAGAATTGGGGGCTTATGTATCATTTTAATGAAGAAGTGGGCACCTGAAAAGGTATTTTAGGAAAGATAAATAGGCCCTTAGGAGAACAGATGAGACAGGGTAATTTTTTGACTGTTTAGACACATTGCCCACTTACTGTCTGGAGATAAAAGTCTTCCCTGGTTCTGTGGAAAGGATTTATAACAACTGATTTATTTTGAGAGAGTCTGGTTTTATGCAGATAGGAATTTGTGGAACACAAATGCCTTCTCATAGTTACATATGGTGGTACATACCTGTAATCCTCATACTTGGGAGGCTGAGGCAGGAGGATCAAGAGTTCATGGCCAGCCTACACTATGTAGTGAGATCTTATCTCAAGAAACCATTTTGTGCCTCAGAAGCATATTCAATATGGATTTAGTAGTTGGGATATTCAATTCTAATTACATATATCATGTAAGTCAGTGAAGTTTAAGTTCTTTGCTGTTCATTTATATTTAGTTGACTATTGAGTAGGCATAAAAGCACCATTTATTTATACTAGCCTGTATAGGAATTTTTTTTTTTTGCTTTTTGAGACAGGGTCTCACTATGTAATCCAGGCTGGCCTTGAACTCATGGCCATCCAATTGCCTGAGCTTCCAGAGTGCTACAATTACAGATGTGTGCCACCACACCCAGAATAGCCTGTATCGGAATTTATAGTATTTTAAGTTTCAAGTCAAGTATAAAAGCATAGTGATGAAAATGTACATCTTTAAATCCTTTCCCTTATGTATGGGGTATTGTGTAAGCATTAATTCTTTTTTTGAGACAGGATTAGCTATATAGATCAGGCTGGTTTTGAACTCACTCTGTAGCCCAGGCTGGTCAAACTCATGGTGATCCTTCTTGCCTCAGCCTCCTGAGTGTTGAGATAACTCAGGAGGTGTGCACCACCACACCCTGTCGTAGGCATAATTCTTAGTACATCATTCCAGTATCTACCATCGTTTAGTGACTGAATTATTACTTCCAGAATAGTCAAATTCCCCATTGCACAACACACCTTTAGTTCTAGCGTGTCACATACCCTGGAGACTGCTCTGGAGGCTGTTCTGCAAATCTTTGTTTCCCGCTTCCCTTGCCTCCCTTCAGCCCCTCCTCCCCTCTTCATTCACAAAAGCTTTGTGTTCTTTGAATCTTGCCCAGCTGGGTGTGGTGGTGCACGCCTGTGATCCCAGCACTTGGGAAGCTGAGGCAGAAGGATCATTGTGAGTTTGAGGCCAGCCTGGGCTACATAAGTGAGCTCAGAGCCAGCCTGCACTGCATAGGAAGACCCTGTCTCAAAAAGACAAAAAAAAAAAAATCTTGCCCGATCCCATCTCTGTCTCCGGGTCAAAAAGATGTCCTTCTGTTGTTCTGCAAGGACATGCTGCATACGCCACTGGGACTGTACTTTTAAAAGGCATTATAATGGCATAATCGTGTGCATTTTAAACTTCTAGAGGGCTTACACTGCTTGTCTTGGTATGCTCTGTGCCCATCACAACTTTTTTTTCCCATCCCAATATTTTTTCCTTTTTTTTTGGTACTGGGAATCAAACTCAGGACCTTGTGCTTCCTAGGCAGGCGCTTGTGCCGCTGAGCTATATCCCCCAGCTCTATCACAATTTTTGAGAAAAAGGGTGACATTTTCCTATAAATTATACAATGAAAAGTGTTCTTTAGGAAAAACGTGGGTTCAATATGTAATTAAATTAAGGACAGTAACTGAGTATCAGGATAAAGGAATAGACAGGTTCTGTAGCAGTGTTAAGCTCTGAAAAGAACACAAGACAGAACAGAACCTTGTACAAGTTGAGTAATTACATCTGATGGGCGCCCCCAGCCCCAGGTATGGGGAGAGCAGCCCACATAGGTAAGATGCCTTCCTGCTATAGTACACCTAATCAGAAGACTTATTTCTTAAAAACTCAGAACACATAATTTAGGGTCTAGATCATGACACCCTGTATATCGAAATACACTAGAAGCTTCAAATTACAGAATTTGGGTAGACAAGATGTGACAGAAATCCAAAGGATGTATTTCTGCAAAAATTTCAGTAACGAGCTTTACTAGCAAAAACAAAGTGAACTTAATTTCTTACCACCCAGGTTATCTTCTCATGTCCTTTTCTCCTATCCCATTTACCCCCATATTAATGCTGCCAATGTTAGCACGTTGTAGTGGGAAGCATATCCTCTTTGAAGCCAGAAAATTGGTATCTGGCTCCACCCCTTAATAAGTAACACTGGAGCAAGTTACCCTACCGAACCCTACGACCAGCCCGGCAACAACTCTAAATGGTCACCAGCAGCATAACCATGGATCAGGGACCTAGAGGCTGGGCCTGCGGAAGTGTAATGGGCTAATGAAAAGCAGGACCAAAGCTCGGATTGCCTTGAAACTTTGGATCTGATCCCTGCTCAGCTGCACACGTGTCGTTTTTTTGCACCAGAAATTGAACTCAGGACCTTGGGTTTGTCAGGCAGGTGCCGTGTCACTGAGCTATATGTGTGTGTTAATCACTTAAAAAGTACCTGTAATGTAAGGTCTATTAGTCCTAGGTTCACCTGGCCCCTCTCATCCTTGTTCAAAACTGAGGATGCCATGAGTAACTAGATTTTTAAGGCTTGCAGGGACATCCAATTGCCAGCATTTATCAGGTCCAATTCCAGACTAGGTATCTCCAGTCATAGCCCTTAACTTGCGGGCACCTCAGAGTTCAGGAAAAGCAGAGCTTCTCAGACAACCCCTCATTTCTCACAATGAGATCATCACCCAAACGGGAGCAACTACCTCAGGATGGGAACGGAGGCCCGCTTCCCCACAAACAGAAGCCTCATCTCAAAATGGGAACCCAATTGCTCTTATGTGTGATGATGGCTCTCTCCCAGCACCTTGTAGAACCAGTCCTGAAACAGTTTGATGATTACCTATGTTGCAAACTATGCAAACTCACCAGCTACGCAAACCCCCTAGTTCTTGCCTATAAAACCCTAACGCTACTTTCAGTCCTTCAGACCCAGATCTTGAACTTTATCTGTTTCCCGGCATGGGCTATGCTGATTAAAACTCCTTTCCAGCCCTTCACCACTGCTTCTCTTTATTGTTGCCAAGGGATGGGTTGCCAAGCCTGGTGTGTGGAGACCCCTAGAGCTGCAGCTTCTGCCCTAAAACTCCAGTAACAAGCAAACAAAAAGGAATTAACATCACACCTGACTTCAGCTGCATAGCAAATCTAGAGTTTCTTGAACACATAACGATCCTTCTGCCTCAGCCTCCCAAGTGCTGGCATTACAGGCGAGCACTACCACGCCAGACTCATTAAATGTATAGTTTATCCCTCATCATTCTCTTAGTTTCCAAATCTAGTAAGACATTTTTGTTCAATAGCATTTCCTATCACATTTGGTTACTAACCTTTGTAAGGATTCCTCTGTAAATTCTCTCCATCCCACACACAGTTTTCTACCATAATTGGACACATTAATCCCCCACTTTCAGCTAGAACTAATGCTGAAATTATAATTGGTTTTCTTCCCTTCCCAATCAAAAACTGGTGATTTTGTTTGTGCTAGTTTATTCTAGACGCTTTCAAAATTAATGATATCTCTTTTCAAAAATTTAATGATTATTTGTAAATCATAGAAGGAGGCCTCCCTTTTCCTTGGTATTTAAAAACTTTTAATATGCTTTTTCCATAGTTAAGACTGCTATACTTGACTAAGATTTACTTACCATTTTTTTTTTGTTTGTTTTTGTACTGAGAATCAAACTCAGGACCAGGCGCTTGTGCCACTGAGCTATATCCCCGGCCCCTGGTTTGCTTTTATATCAGGCAAAAATCTCTATATAGTTGTGAAACTGCATTTTTGAATTGTGATTAACTTATCAGCCTAATAAGTATTTGCAGTATTTAACATGTACTGTTATCCGATCGGAAATTCTTTTTTTTTTGGTTTTTCTCTGGTACCGGGAACCGAACTCGCTACCTTGTGCTTGCCAGGCAGGCGCTTTTGCCGCTGAGCTAAATCCCCAGTCCCCGATCGGAAATTCTGATTGCAAAGGATTCTGCATGTATCCATGATGTTTAAAAAGTGGAGGAAAAGGAGGGAAATGGCGGTAAAAAGAATTAAGATTTGTGAGTGTATCAGCTCCCCAGGATGAATTTAATCATGTAGTGCAAACGTGGTAATAAAAATTTTAAATGAATTTTGTAAGTCAAAGGCACATACAGTTACTGTAATCCCATTTGATAAATGTATATAATTATGTTATTTCATAACATCTATCTTGAGGCTGCAAAATCTCAACGTACATATAAAGGGAAAGGTGGACTATGTAACAGTTTTGAACTTAATGT